CTCATAGGAGTATAAACCTGGAAAGCCCAAAAGAGTTAGCTCAGAACTCTTAGATCTAGCCCTGGCCTGTTTGGCTCAGCAGTTAGAGCGTGGGCCCTTGGACCAGGGTCACAGGCTCAATCCCGGGCCCAGTTATGCAGGAGGCAATCAATCGATGTGTCTCTCTCACACCGATGTTCATCTCTCTTTTCTCTCTCTCCCTCCCTCCCACTCTAAAAAAAAAAAGGCAATGGAAAGATGTCCTTGGGTGAAGATTTAAAAAAACCAAAAAACTCTTAGATCTAGTAAAAGAAAAACTGAATGCCCAGAAGCTGAACATCTGGGGAATAGACATGAAGAAAGTGAAAATGAAGGCAAGTCCATGCCCTGCTAAGGAGGAAGCTGTAGACATTAACTCTAGCTGTGAATTCAAGTTTAAATGTGTGTGTGAAAAGTATAAGCTGCCCAGAAGCAGAATGAAACTGAGAAATGACAACTTCTAAACCACAACGGAAAAGTGGAGTGGGGTGGGGGGAATCAAAGCAAATCGTAAAGTGGGGGGGCAAAAAGAATATTCTTCTTGGTAGATGGATTAAAGACAGTCTCTCTGATCTGTTGAAAAAAAAAAAATAGCATCCAGTTTTATACTGTTTATAAAAGATACACCTAAAATAAAATGGCACAGTGTCTCCTGGTAGATGAGAAATTGTTCTACAGTATAGTTCTGGACATTGCAATAGACAAAAGGAAAAAAGAAAGAAGAAACATACACAGAACAGAAGGAGGCTGTTTATCACTGCAGATTATATGTCTCTGGGCTAAAAAATTCAAGAGAATCAACTAGACCCAGGAATGTTGCTTATGGCGGAGTAAAAACACACAGAAATCAACCTGTAATACAAACAGAAAACACAGTGAAAGAAGACTACCGCTCACAAGAGAGAGAGAAAACCCCAAAGAACAAATGTCAGAGGCAGCATGCAGAACCGTATGGAGACAGGTATAAACTCCTCCTCTGGGAACATAAAGAAATAGAGCAAAATACAAAGAGCACTTTCCCTAAATGTGTTAGTGTCCACCCAAACTGCCACATGATTTTCTTTTTGACATTACACGAAGAGTTTTGTTCAATTAGAGTGAACACGGAAGAACAGCAAGGGAAATTGGCCACAGGAAGAATAATGAAGGAGGACTTGCCTCACCGCACACAGGGTGGGGCATAGTAGGTTCATAGTTGTTCGTATGGAAAATAATACAACAATTAATAAATAATAGTACAAAAACAAACTCTGTGGCCCTGGCTGGTGTGGCTCAGGCGGTTGGAGCGTTGTCCTGTGCACAGAAGGGTCTCAGGTTCGATTCCCGGTCGGGACACATGCGGGAGACAACCAATTGATGTTTCTCTCTCACATCAATGTTTTTTTCTCTCTTTCTAAAAAAAATAATAATAAAAATAAATAAATAAAAATTATAAAACAATAAAATTATATTCTTGGTGAGGATTAAAAAAAAGAAAAGAATAAACTCTGTGTCTCGCGTACTCACATCCATTGTACAAAAAGGATTACAAAAGCTACAACAATTTTAAAGGAGTGGCAAAGGGACGAGACTACAACAGGCAGAAAAAGACCAAAATAAGAAAAAAATGTAGACTACGATAAAGAGAGCATTTCTAATTCATTGCCAAAAAAATGTCAATAAAATGTTTTTACATAATTGACTACATTTGGAGAAAAACATTTGGACAATAATAAAACTGATTTCCTCTCTCAACTTTCTAGATGAATAAAAATTTAAATAATTAAAGAAAAGAATTAAGAACATGTATAAGTAAATAATTTTATAACCTTAGGATGGGAAAGGTATTTATTTTTAAGCACAGTACAAAGATTATAATCATCAAGGGAAATAATAATAAACATGAACATAGCAAAATTTTAAATAGCTCTAGGGAAAAAAATATCCCAAAAAAAGGCAAATAATGGACAAATTGGGTAAAATATTGTAAAGTACTTTATTTTTTATTTATTTATTTGTCTATTTATTTTTATCCTCACCCAAGGACATTTTTCGATATTTTGTTCAGATAGAGTGGGAGGGAGAGAGAGAGAGAAAGACACATCAACATGAAATGGACACATCGAGTGGTTGCCACCTGCACGACCCAACCAGGGCCGGGGACAAACTGCAACTGAGGTACATGCCCTTAGCGGGAACCGAACCTGGGTCTCTCTGGACCACAGGCCAATGCTCTACCTGCTGAGCCAAACCGGCCAGGGCTGTAAAGTACTTTATAAAGGGCTAAAACTTCTGGTTCCCAAAGTCTTTTGGCAACTTTTTATTTTGAAATAATTTGAGACTTTCAGAAAAGTTGTAATTAGAATTTTTTAAAAAAAAATCTTCACCCGAGGATATTTTTCCATTGATTTTTAGATAGAGTGAAAGGGAGAGAGAGAGAGAAACATTGATGTGAGAGAGACATCGATAGGTTGCTTCCTGCACGACCCCCACCAGGTTCAGAGATCAAACCTGCAACCCAGGCACATGCTCTTGACTGGGAATCAAACCTGCAACCCTTTATTAAGTTTCCCGTAATAAAACTCCTGAGAAATTTCCACTCTAAGTTGTTTAGTTTGTATCCCTAACACTTCTTTCTATATATATAAAAACCCTAAATAATGGTTCATAATATATGTGTACATATACATGTATATGGATATACACATAAATACAAATGGAGAGAGACTATAAAACAAATATGGTAAAATATTAACAATTAGTGAATCTCTGTAAAAATATTATACTTGTGTCCTGGCCAGTCTGGCTCAGCGGTTAGAATGTCGGCCTGCGGTCCAGAGAGACCCGGGTTCGGTTCCCGCTAATGGCACATACCTCAGTTGCAGTTTGTCCCTGGCCCTGGTTGGTCGTGCGGGTGGCAGCCACTCAATGTGTCCCTTTCACATCGATGTTTCTCTCTCTCTCTCTGTTCCTGTTTCTCCTTCCCACTCTACCTGAACAAAAAATGGAAAAATGTCCTCGGGTGAGGATAAAAAATAAAAAGAAAGAAAGAAAATATATGTATTTTCTTCTAACTCACAAAACATAATATTCTAAAGTAAGGTAGTGATAATGGAACCACAATGGTACAAACATTTAAGAGATGAATCCAAAATTTAACTGAAAGATGATTTCATGGCTTTAAATACATCAAACACAAAACTAGAAAGAGCAAATCTTTTTTGCTCAAAAAGACAGAAAAAGAAAACCAAATAAAGCCCAAGGAAAGCAAAAGAAAGAATCAATAGGAATAGAAAATAATGAAATAAGCATTTAAAAAATTAACTACATACCAGGGCACCAAACAAGTCTCAATATATTCCATATAACTGGTATCACTGTAGAACTAATTCTGTGACTACAGAGAAACTGAATTGGAAATCAATTACAAAAGCAAACAAGCAAACATGCATTTGGAAATGTAAAAAAAAACAAAAACTTCTAAATAAGTCATGGGTCAAAATAAAATTAAAATGGGAATTATATATGATATTTAGAACTGGATGACAATAAAAATGCTATATACCAAAATATTTAGAAGTAACCTAAAGCAGTATTCAGAGGAAAATTTGTAGCCTCAAATACTTATATTAGGAAATAAAAAAGACCAAAAACAAGTTTTCTAGGTATCCAACTCATGAAATTAACCTATGTGTATATAAACATTTGGTTTATACAAGAAGTGATGGCAGTACAGAAAATGTTTTGGGGCTTTTTATTTTATTTTTTTTCAATGAATGACTTTGGGACAACTGGTAGTCCATATGGGGAGATAAATAAAAACAGACCCCTCTCTTATACCAGCACAAAATAAATGCTTGTGAATTCAAGACCCAAATGTGCAAACCAAAATTTCCACTTTTAGGCAAAAAACACAAGAAAATATCTTTATGACCTTAAGAAAAGGGAGGATTTCTTAAATAAGACAAAAAGCATAAGCCAGAAAGGAAAACATGAATATATGTTTGACGAACATAAAATCTAAATTGCTGTTCAGCAAAGGACAAGATAAACATAATGAAAAGATAAATCAAAAACTGGGAGAAGGTATTTGCAATATACCCAATGAACATAGAATCAGTATCCAAAAATATAAAAATATAATAGAAAAAAGGCAAACAATAGAAAAATTTGCAAAATATCTGAATACGTGATTCATAGAAGAATCACCACAAATGGTGAAACATGAAAAGATGTGCAACTGTACCAGTAATTGGGGCCATGCACAGTGCAGCCACAATAGGACACTATTTCTCATCCATCAGAATGAAAAACACATCACTGTCTGACAACACCAAAAGTTGGAAAGGATATGGAACAATGGAATTCTCAAACACTTCTGTGAGAGTACAGATTAACACAATCACTTTGGAGAACATTTTGGCAATGACTACTCTAGGTGAAGGTTTACTCAGCCTCTGACCCACCAGGTCTTTGCAGGATGCAGCCTGTAGAGAAATTCTGAAACACGTCAATAGGGAAATGTGTGTAAGAATATTCAGAGAAGCAGAGTTTGTGATACCAACAAAAAAAAAAGGAAATTACTTCAATGTAGTAGAATGGATAAACTGTGGCATATTCACCCAAGTGAATATTGTAGATAGAACTGATTAATGAATTAGAGCTGCATGTATCACTATGGCTAAATCTCAAAAACAATGTTGAACAGAAGATGCAAGAGGCAGAAGCATGTTTACAGAATGAAGCCATTTATGCAAAATGGTTCTGCCAGCACCTGGCTCGGATCCAGGCACATGACTATGTTCAGACAGGCTCAAATGACCTGGGAGCTATTGCCACCACAACCATCATTGTGGAGAGGGGCAGTATTTTCACCCTGGTTTTACAGACTGGGAAGCTGAAGTCCTGGGAAGGGAGACTTCAATAAGTCTCCCAGTGCCATGTGAAAAGGAAGGCATGGCCCCTAACAGCCCCCTCCCGGACCCAGGCTACACACTCCGCACCTTACAAGAGTCTACACCCAGTTCTGAGTGGGCACACAGCAAGTCTTTCCCGAGGAGCTTCTTCAGGCCCTTCAAGAAGAGGAACCCATATTGCTGATCGCAGACCTCGTTTTTTATTATCTTGACAGCCACCTCCTGAAGACTGTAGATCTTTGGAGTCGCTAGAGAGAGAGAGAGAGATCCTGCCTCAGCATCCCTTCAACAACTTGGCACAATTTTTATCTTAGGGTTATCCACATTCCCTGATGTGGGGGGTAGGGCCATTTCCTGGGGTGATGATTTATAAAGGTCCATAGCCTGACTTTCAAAAAAGCCCAAGCTCATTAAAAAGACTAAGTAAAAGTCTCCCAAGCGGTTGAGAGTGACACCCAAGCACTGAATGAAGACAAGAAAAGATTACCCCAATAATTCAGGGTGCATGAGGGTGAAGGGCTGAGCACTGCTCTGTGGCTATCTGGCAAGGTGGCAAGACCCTAGAACCCTACCCCCTGGGAGGCAGGACCCCACAAAGGACCCCAGAGCGACGCCAACAGGGGCAGACCTCCAGAAAGTACCAGTGTCTTGAGGTGACAGGGAAGCTCTTTAAAGATCAAGAGTTAATTTCCTACCATGCTGCAAAGTGATGGCTCGACACTGGGTTTAACTTTGGGAACCGAGGTCCATGCTGGCCACGTGTGTCTTCCACACTAGAGCACTGCGTGTATCGACAGAGGTCAGGAGAGTGCGGCACGGGCAGGTGCTCAGGAAGTGTTTGCTGACCAGATCAATGCATGGATGAAGGAGTGAATGAGCCCATGGCGAAGTTGTGTTCTGAAGAGGCGAGTGTTTTGGATACTGCCTGTCACCACTCACCTTTCACATTTGGTTGTCCCCACACGATCGCCCAGCACGTGTTTCCAACAGATGGTGTGAGTTTGGCATTAGGTAGGCAGACAGGCTGGACGAAGCTGGACCAGGAGATGGGGTCCTTGAGCTTCAGGAGGGCAATGTCATCGGACAAGAGGTTCCTGAAATTCTCATGAATCACAACCTGACTGAGCGGGAGCTGAATGCCCTTTTCTGAGAGGTGTTGGATTCCCGTCATCACAGAGTACTGGGCGGGGTCCAGGGACCTGCAGGGCCATGAGGAGGTGGGTCACCAGCAGTAAGACGGCTCCTCCCAGAACCCAAAGTTCACCGGGGCCCCTGGGACCAGGGGCCGCCCTGACTGACCTCTCTAAGCAGTGCGCAGCCGTGAGGACCCACTGGCGGTGGATGAGAGAGCCACTGCAGATGTACATGCCCAGGTACAGGAGGTTCACCTGCCATGGCCACTTGCCCATTTCCACCATCTTCCCCTTCACCACCTTGCAGGACACGTTGGTCTGACCACATCCCCAGAACCAGGGCTCTGAGGGAGAAGATAGAGAACAGGCCATGCAGCCCCGTGCGGCAAAGGAGCCCCCAAGCCTGTGCACAGCGACCGTGGAGGAGAGGGAGCCGCCTCGCAGCCTCGCAAGCGGCCACTGCCACGCACACATGGGCAGCTGGCCGGTGACCCGAGCCAGGGCTGCCCCACGAGAACACATGTGGTCTGTTTGGATGGGTGCCCAGAGACTTCTGTCACGTGGGACACCAAACTTTTCATCCCTAAAGGGTCCACTGAAAATTGGTATTGGGTCCTGGCTCCACAGGTAACTTAAGTTCTCTGCGCATTGGTTTCCAACTGTGAGATGGGGACACTGGTCAAGCCACCTGCCAGAGTGTTGTGATGCCAGTATCCAAGACTGCCTTGTGCGGGGTGGACAGTCACTCACACACCACACCGTGCTCACGAGCCCTGGTTCTAGGGCAGGCCACCCACACAAGCTCATCTGTTCCATGATGTGGGCTTGTCTCTCAACTTTAATGGGGCTCTTCCCTGGTGTTCACGTCACCCTGCAAACTGGAACAGCCTCAACACTGACTGGGTCCCCAGGGATGGCACACGTCAGGCATGAGGACACAGACACCCAGGCAAACAGTCTCCCCCTGCCTGTCCCACGTCCCCAAAGCCCTACCTTCCACATAGAGTGGATTCCCAAGTCTGGCAAAAGAATATGGAGATGTGTGGCCCTGAAGACCTCCTGGCACACACTCCATGACAAGCTAGTGCCCGAGGTCACTGGTCCTCACCGTGGAATTGTCAGGGCGGGGGTTGGGGCATCTCCGATGTGCAAGAATTCTAGAACTCATGGTTGGCTTATTCCGGGTAGCAGGTGTGGGCCCCAGGGCTGCGGCCTCACCCAGCTGGGGCAGGGTGCCAGCAGAAAAGAAGGCAATGTGGTCACGGTGAGGCCCCACCAGGGCACAAGGCGACACTGCGGACAGGCGCCTGTCTAGAATGGTGCTCCTCGGGCCCCTGAGCCTGTGACAGCACCTGGTGTCCGGCCCATGACAGTGCCTCCTGGGCTCAGCCTGGACCTTGAAGGTATCCCTATGGGCCCAATCCCGAGCCTGTGACAGCAGCAGGTATCTGGCTTGTGACAGTTCCTGGTGCCTGGCCTGTGAGGCACCCTAAGGCCCAGTCCAAGCTCCTTTATGACGCCCTTCTGCTGGCCCCTGGAAGTATGGAAACTGAGGCACGGAGAAGGGGATGGCTAGTTCCTGTTGTGGGTGACTGAGCTGGAACTAGAGTTTTCCTTTTTCCCACAGGTTTTGCATTTTCAGGAGATCAGCTCGGGGTAGAGGCAGGCCAGGTGTTCTGAGCCTCCTGAGAGGAAGCAGCTGGCAGGCCTAGGTCTTGATGAATCCGCCGAACAAATGACACCTTGGGGCCCCTCCCCACCGCTCGACTGAGGCCCCTCCCAAGGATCCCATGCCCTGCGCACCGCCCCCGAGGACAGCTGACTCCTGCTCCACCCCGTTGCCAGGGTTGTCGAGTTCGTGGGGTAACGAGGTTGTTCACACACTCCGGGGGGAGGTGGACGGGGCCACCACCACGCAGAACTTCAGAATCATTTAGGAGAGAGAAAAGGTGCTTACCCACAGCCTGCTGCTCCGCTCCCAGCTGTGCGCCCAGAGACTGGCCGGCATGACCCGCAGGACAGACCGCGGCGCTGCTGAGCAGACCCCAAGCGAAGCGACTCGGCTGCCATCAAGGACAGGGCAGAGGCGTAGAGTCCTCAACAGCCACGACCATGGACATGCAGTGACACGGGGAATCTCATAAACATGTTTTGCAGTGAAAGAAGCCAGACACAAAAAGGCACATATTGTATGAAACTCAAAAACAGGCAAAACAAACTATTTTTAGGGATACATGATGGAGAATCAAGGAAATGATTATGCCTACAATCAAATTTCCTCTGGGAGGAAGTAGGGAAGTGGGGAGGAAGGGGAAGAGAGAGAGAGAGAAATACTTTGGATGTAACAATTAATAAAACAAAACAATTGAGTAAAGACGCATATCCATTACCACCACCAAAGTGAATACAAAAGAACTCTAAAAGTCAGTATCTTACATTGGGTAGGAAAAATCGACTCACATACTACTTGTTAAAGATCCCTGCCTGGCTGGTGTGCTCAGTGGACTGAGTGTCGTCCATGGACTGAGAGGTCCCCATTTGATTCCCGGCCGGGGCACATGCCCAGGTTGCAGGCTCGATCCCCTGTAGGGGCTGTGCAGGAGGCAGCTGATTTGACATTTTCTCTCTCACACCGATGTTTCTCTCTCTCTCTCTCTCTCTCTCTCTCTCTCTCTCTCTCTCCCCCTTCCTCTCTCTCTCAAAAAATCAATAAAAACATATTTTTAAAGACCCACCTAAAACAAAGTGACATGAAGCAGATGAAAGTAAGTATATGCAAGCAAAAATAGAAATGGCAATGTTAATCTCTAAAAATGTGATTCAGGACAAAAGCTTTAACCAAAAAAAGAAAGTTATTTTATGTTGGAAAAAGATAAAAGTTACTATGACTATATAACATCATGAAGTTCTTTTCATCAATAACATGACATCAAACATATAAAGCAGAATTAACCAGCAGTACATGAGAAACTGAAAAACCTCCCTTGCAATGGGAGAGTCTTCAACTCTGTGTCTTTGGGGAATGAAATATCTATAAAAACCAACCGCACACTCGAATACTAAGGAAACCACAATAACTTCCCTCAAAGTTGAACTAGCTTGGCCCACATTTTTTACCATGATGCAATGAAGCAAGGATTTAGTAACAAAAGAGTAACCAAATTATTTGAAAATTTTTAAATAAGCTTTCTTAACTTATTTGAGGAAATAAAAACTCAAATTCTATTTAGAAAATACTAATAGTTAGAGTAATGAATTTTTAAAGTATTGGGTGTGCTCAAAGCAAATCCATAACCTTGGGTAAATGTTCAAATCAAGAAACTATAAAAGGTACAAAATAAACCCAAGGAAACTCTATAGGAAAAAATGTACAAAATGTAAAATTATACCTTAAATGAATAGAACATCAGAATTAGAAATGAACTCTATGATATGAGCCAGATAATTGAAAAAACAAATATTAAATAGGACAAAAGCATATTTTATATTGTTAGGGTATATACCCCACCAAGATGGTATAATAGGCATGAACCTTGCACTCTTAACAACACATAAAGCAAGAATGGTTATAAGAAGAAATAGACAAAGTCTTAATTCCTGGCGTAAACCTCTCAGAAATCAGCAGATTATATAGACCTAAAATATAGAAATGTTGAGAGGATTTGAATAACACAATCAAGATGCCTGATCCAACCAGTTTATAGCTAGAACTTTGTTTCAAAACATACACCACTTTCGTTTCAAACACACATGAAACAGTCACTAAAAGTGACCGACTACTAGACACAAATAAAACCTCAATCAATTCCAAAATGCAGAAATAATTATGTCCATATTGTGACATAATTTTAAAATGTATCTTTATTGTTGAAAATATTACAGATGTCTCTCCTTTTTTTCTCCCATTGACCCCCTCCTCCCTGCTTCCCACCCTCCCGCATTCATCACACTGTTGTCTGTGTCCATTGGTTATGCATATAAGTTCTTTGGTTTTTAACAGAAAAAAAGGAGAAGCTTCTACCCTTGCCCCAAATTACCCATTAGAAAATAAATAACACCCTTCTTTTTAACTCTTGGGTTAAATAAGAAATATAGTATAAAATTTTAAATATAAAAATGATTCACAGTCCGGCTGGTGTGGTTCAGTGGTTGAGCATCGACCCATGCACCAAGAGGTCACTGGTTCAATTCCTGGTCTGGACACATGCCCAGGTTGTGGGCCCAGTCCCCAGTGGGGGGCATGCAGAAGGCGGCCAATCGATGTTCTCTCTCGTCAATTTTTCTTTCCTTTATTGATTTTTAGAGAGAGAAGAAGGGAGAGGGAGAGAGAGATAGAAACATCAATGAGAGAGAACATCGATTGGCTGCCTCCTGCATGCCCCTCACTGGGGATCAGGCCCACAACCTGGGCATGTGCCCTGACCAGGAATCAAACCAGGATCTCTCAGACCATGGGAGGATACTCAATCCACTGATCCACACCAGCCAGGCTGTAATCAGTATTTTAAAATGCCATTTAAAGTAAAAGCTGATTTGGAGCACTGTATGTAGGTCCTTCCTTCTGTCTGTTCCAACTGCTCCCTTACAGCGCGCTCACTTCACAGATGAGGGAACTGAGGCCTCAGGCCCTTCCTATGCTCCAGCACTACTGATACAGCAAAAACCATCAGGCCCCATTCTGGGGAACCACCTGATAGAATTAATTCCAGGAGACCCACCCATCCCCAACAACCAGGGCCACCCAGAAAAGAAAACAGAATCAGTTCACATTTGCACAAATTTAATCCCTGCTGTTCCAGGCCCCAATTCCAGAGCTCTTCTGGGCCACACTTCCCTTCTCCTGGTCACCCAAGGCTAGTCATCCACCACATCCCTCCCTGCTGGGACGCCAAAGCAAGACCGGGTCCCCCAGGGGCCACTCTGCCCCCACTTTGACTCTTGTTAAATGTGGACACATGACCTTGGTCTAACCTTGATCTGGCCCCATCCAGCAAAAGCAAAGCAGGAAGAAGAAGGGAGGGGGGCGATCAGGAGCCCATCTGGGACCTCAGCAGCCAGGACAGGAGAAGGAGCCAGGGGGAGGCGCAGGGCCCTGAGAGAGCCCTGTTGCTCATTTGATTCTTGATCCAGCTGCTGTATTTGGTGATGCGTGTGTACACGCCCGGATTCTGGGCTTCGGCGCAGGCCTTCTCCCAGGACAACACCCCGGCCAGAATCCATCTGCCTTCGACTTCACAAGCCAGCGGGCCCCCGGAGTCCCCCTAGGAAAGAGAGAGGAGGGAGGGAGGCTCTGGGCCCCGCTGGGACCCAGGGAATCCAGGGGACCCGCCCACTCTGAGTTCCGGAAGATTCTTTCACTCCTCCAGGGAACACTCCAGGCTGGGGTCCTCCTTCAGCTCCACAGCTGGAGACCCGTCCCAGAATATTAAGCAAAATCAAAGTGACAGGGGAAGAAAGATGGGAGCAGACCACTGTCTGGTGATGGTGACAAGGAGAGAGGCCAAGCAAACCCCTCCCCGGGCAACTGTCCCCGACCTGGAACTGTTCCCAACAGGAGAGCTCCCAGAACGTCCCCGAAACTCACATTGCACAAGTTTTCTCCATAATTGGTGGCACAGACCATGTGTCCCAAGACAAGGGGGATGAGGTTGGGGACAGGGGACTTCTTTCGGTAAATCTGGTTACACCTCTTGTTGTCCATAATAAACACCTCAGCCTCCTGCAGCTCTGGGGTCAGCGTGGTGTTGGCTGTGGAGGAGTCCAGGGAGGTGAGAACGAACCCTCACTCCACTCAGCCCTGGCCTCTTCCCCGTCTTGTCACCTGGGTCCTGGGGACTCAGCAACGGGGGGGGGGGGGGTGTCTGGCGAGCCCCTCTCCAGGCTAAGGTGGTGTCTCAGGACCCAGTGCGCTAGGAAGCTTTGCTTCTGAACCAAGCAGGCCACAGTCCGAGCTGCATGCGACCACTGACAAGCTGAGAGTCGGGCGCAGGCCGCTGCCCGCCAGCCTGTGGGCTCTGCGCTGGCTGTCCCCCCCGCACCGGAGTGCACCCGCTTCCCAGACCGCCTCTCTCATCCCTCAGGGCTGGAGCTCAAACTGCCTGACCATCTGTCCCGGTGGGTGGGCCTGCGCCCCTCCCCTCTCAGGGTGAGCCCCCTGTAAGCAGGGCCTGCGTCCCCAACGCCTGGGTCCGGCACGTGGCCGAAGCTCGAAGTTCATCAAGTGAATCTGACTCCCGGACTCCGAGCTCCTGTGAGGCAAAGGATCATGCCCAGCCCAGGCACTGCCCAGCGTGGATGAGGTGCCCACAGCAATGGACAACGGTTCCCACAAGAGGAGCAGTCCTCACATCCAAGAACCAGGGGCCAGAGGTAGCAGCCACGAGCTTCCGAGGGGCACCGTGAGGGGGTCCAGCAGCAAGGCCCCGGAAGGAACTGCCTGCAGCCTCTGAGGTCCCCCAGCCTCCCGCCATCTCGCGCAGCTCACCTGAGAACCGCTGCCTAGCCTGGCCCCAGCCGGTCACCCAGCACTGCGTCCCAACCTTCAGCTTGTAGGTGGGCTCCGGGAGGCAGATGGGCTGGACGTACTTGCTGAAGGTGACAGGAGTGTAAAGCTGGAGAAGGGCAATGTTGCCCATGATGAAGGTCCGGCCCCAGTACTTGGGGTGTATAATGATATCCCTCACGTGGATCGAGATGGCCGTCCTCGAGTTCCTGGGCCTCAGCTGAGAGGTGCCGAGAGTCACCGTGTACTCTTTGGTGCTGCAGGGGACACAGCCTCATCTGGTAGATGTCAGGGTCCTATGCTCCTACCTCTACCAAGGACCCTCTCCCTTAGCAAACGCCCTGCCAATCCAGCCTGGAGGCGCTCAGGGTCAAAGATACAACTGCCTCCCCATCTATCATTCAAGTTGATTCAAGGTAACCTGGTCTGTGCTGGGTACGTAGGTGTTGGTGTCTACATGTATGTTTTCATGCGTTGAGGGGTGGGGTCTATAGTGAGTTTGTCTGTTGCTCTGTTTAGCATACGATCTGCATCTCTTGGGGCTCCTGTCCCAGCTCAGTCCCTGGCCCCCTGTGAGATTTGGAGCATGACTCCCCTGTTCTGGGCACCCCTTCCCTCTCCCCCTACCTCCCACCCTCACATTGCTTCACAGAGGAAACGGGGACACAGGGCCCCACTCACCCTTCGATGCAGTGAGCAGCAGTCACCACCCATCTGTGGTCAATGAGGGCCCCTCCACACACATGCTGCTTTTTCAGGCGGAGGCTCACCTCCCAGGGCCAATGGCGGGTCACATCCACATCTTCCGACCACCAGGGTTTGCCACAAGCTTTAGGAACAAATATGCCAAGGAGACACAGTGACCACACAGAGGAGGAGAAGACTGAGACCAAGACGCCCCTGGGGCAGCTGCACAGGCTGTGAACCAGGACTTGTTTCTGTTTCGGGGGGGAGAGAAGCGCAGTGACCTGTGCAAGGCACTGGGCTAGGCGGAACAGGACAATGACAGAGATAAAATGCATCAAGATGGAGACATCACAAGAGGGAAGAAAGAGATGCTGAACACACTGGGCGCAGTCAGCACAGAACTTCAGAACAAGCAGAAGCCTTCTAGAGCCAGGACGGGAAATACTTTCTTGTGTCCGGAGTAAGTTCCGAAGCCATGTTCCTGAAAGGCCATAATGCTGGCTGCATCCCTCCGATGCCCACACTGCTCAGAGTCAAGCTCCAGACTTCTGATCTTACACAGACCTTTCCAGAAAGAACCCAGCCTGGAGCCCCCATCACAGCTCACACACCCAGCGTGCACGTAGTTCCAATGGTCGAGTTGTGCAGCTCTATGAATGAACATAGATGCACATATTGTAAGTGAAATACCAGCCAACGTCATATGTTTAAAAATAACGCACTGTGATCATGTAGAGATTGTCCCAGGAGAAGAGAGGTCCCACTATGGAGTAGCCTCGGTGTGTTCTCTGCAGAGCCATTGTGTTTTCCTTGATAGACTCCGAAAGAGGCATTTGAAAATGTCGACACGTATTTATGACTAAAAACAGAAAACCCTCTTACTTAGCAAACTAGGAATAGAAAGGAAATCCGTAACTTCATAAAAGTGATGCGACACAAACCTACAACAAACATCGTATAACACTGGGGAACAGGCAAAAAGCAGCCACACTGGCAGAACCAGGAATAGTGGCACTTCATGGAAGGAGGGCAGGGGACCTTCTGGGTGCTAGGACTGCCCTACTTACCTGGGTGGTGACTGCACAGGTGTGTTTGCTGGGACACTTATCATTTGTATAATGCTTCAACAACTTGCTTTCAAAGTCAGTAATATTTCTCTATCCCAGAACCACCAATAAAAAATATATTCAAAATCAGATCCATTTTCAATAGCAAAAATGTATGAAGTACCAAGGAATTAACTTACCCAACACTACGCAAGATTTCTGTGGCAATGCATTTCAAACAAATCAAGGACTCAAAATAATTGACATAAATGGAGAGACATCCCTTGCTCTTAAATAGAACAACTAAATACTTCAGCTGTAACTCTGAGACAGGCTAAACCTCTCTTAAGCTGGATGGGAATGTTCTTCAGTTATTTTTTAAGCCTCTCCCAGATAAGATTAAAGTTTCCCTTAGGGCGCTCCCCAAGCCCATGTGTCTGCACCTCTGCCAGTCAATGCCAGCCCACGGGGGAGTCTGAGGACAAAGAGCCCACTTTGCAGCTGCAGGCAGAACCCCAGAGCTGCAGCGCCAGACCCAGAGCAGTGCTGGGCCGGTCTCTGTCGTGTGCTCCCTGCCGCGTCGAGCCCCCTCCCTCCCTCTCTCCCCTGCGTCTGGTTTTCGGTCAACCACCTTTTGAATCTGTTTCATCTGCTCTTGATTTTCATCTTAGGGGAGAGGGTGGAGGGCTCAAACCCCTTCACTCGTGACAATTTTTCCCAGAATTAATTCTATAAAGTCACTTTCCAAGTTAGAATTTTAAAGAAATTTAATAAGCCTACTCTAAAATTGAAATAGAAAAACAAGGGTCCATGACTAGCTGAGCCTTTGAAAAAATCGCTCAGAAAAGGGACATTTGTGCCCAGGCCAGTTTGGCTCAGCGGTTAGAGCGTCGGCCTGCGGTCCGGAGAGACCCGGGTTCGGTTCCCGCTAAGGGCATGTACTTCGGTTGCAGTTTGTCCCCGGCCTTGGTTGGTCCTGCGGGTGGCAGCCACTCGATGTGTCCCTTCATGTCGATGTTTCTCTCTCTCTCTCCCTTCCTCTCTCTCCCTCAAATAATAAAAAATAATAAAAAATAAAAATAAAATAAAAGAAAAGGGACATTTGTCCTAGAAGATAATAAGACACACATCAAAGCCAGAATAACAAAAGCAGTGTGGCACCGGCAGGGACAGACAAATGGACAAAAGGAAAAGAACAGAGAACTGAGAGGCTGCTGCATGGGACACGGGACCTGATGTATAGGTAGAGGCGACCGCGGCTGGTGGGTACAGGAAGGCTCATGCTGCCTGGTGCTGGGAAACTGGCTCACTAGAGCAGAAATAAGAAAGCAAGACTGGATTCCTTCCTGGTGGCACCGAAGACCTCGTCACGAAAGGCAGAACTGTACGTGAACAGCAGACCGTGTAATGTGGGCCGGGAAAGGCCGCCTAAAACAAAACTCAAAACACACCCCAGAAAGCGTTTAACTGATGATCCTGATTACAGCACACAAAGGCTTTCTGACCCCAGGAACAAAGTTAACAGAGCGGTGACAGATTGGAAGGCAACATTCGCAACATCTAAACTCAATACAACCCTGGCCAGTTTGGCTCCGTGGTTAGAGCGTCGGCCCACGGACCAATGAGTCGTGGGTTCCATTCCGGTCAAGGGCACGTACCTTGGTTCTGGTTGGGGTTTTGTGGGAGGCAACGAGTCAATGTGTCCCTCTCACGTCGTGTTTCTCTCTCCCTGCCTCCCACTCTATCTGAATTAAATGGAAAAATATCCTCGGGTGAGGATTAAAAAAAATAAAAATAAAATCAATATAAGACTTTCATTAGGAATATACAAGTAACTCTAGAAAATCACCAAGAGAAAAAGAACAAACAATATGCAAAGGATAAAGACAGGTGATGTATTACAAGAAGACACTCAAGAGGTCAATAACATGTTAAGACAGGCTCCAATTCACTAGTAATAAGGAAAATGTCAATTAAATCAAGAAGTCATTTCTTAAACTATTAGATTAGCAAAAAAAATGTAAAAACTGGATCGTGCCAAGGGCTGATGGATGAGTAGCAATACTTACGCCTTCACAAACTGTGAGCAGGAAAGCAGAGGACTGACCACATCGAAATGTGGACAGTAAATAAAAGTACAGTATCAGTGTAAACCTTTGAAGTGGATAAGTGCACTGCAGTTATCCAAGAGAATATTCTTAGAAAACACACACCAGAGTATTTAGAGATAAAGAACCATGTTGCATGTTACCCTCAGCTGATTCTGAAAAAAATTATGTGTGTTTGGGCGTTCTTTGTGCTATTTGTAGTTTTGGTGTTTTTCAAACTTAAAATTATTTCCAAATAAACTGTTTTTCCCCACCGTGGGCTGAATGAAAAGAGTAGGAAGCAGAAAGAGACCTAGAGCACATACCATGTGTAAGTTAACACTGCGTGCACACAAAGCCACAATATGTATTTTTACAAGAACACACCAGCAGAAAGACACGCACCGGACATATAAAAAGGCTGGGAAGACAGTAAAGACAGGGTTCCCAAGTGGAGCATGGACAAAGGCAGGAATAACTTCATCCGTCAATCAAACAATTCATAACAAATCAGGGTGCACCCATGACAATGGAGGCCCGTGAACAAGCAGGCTGACCCACCCTCCACCCCTGAGGTCTAAGGAAAAAGACAAGAGGACCCAGAAGAGCCAGGCATTGCCACAGGGCCCAGGGGCCTCCATTTGCAAAGGAACAGTTTAGAGCCCAAAAGGTTTCTGTGTAGAAAAGGGACACATCCCCTGACTGGCTACGGCCTGGGCTGAATTTGAAGAGGTTCTGCATTCCCATGGGAGGCCCAGATGCTCTTTCCTCCACACTGCTGGTCTGCGAGTCCTATCCTTTAGAAAGCAGGCCCTTTGCACTAGGTCCCTGCTTCCTACAGACCCAGGCACACTGTCCAGGGCCCGCTGCAGCACATACCCTCCCAGGAACCGAGGCTTTCTGGCAGCAGGGGCTCTCCCTGCCCACCTGGTTGGGAGTCATCTCCTTTGTAACCTGGAGGAGAAAAGGGGGACAGAGATGAAGTGAGAGGTCATGACAGGATGACGGTGAAGAGGTGCATTTCCATTAATTAGTTTATTTATTCATACACCAAATATTTTTCATCTCCCGCTCCGTTCCCAGCCCGGAGCCTAGAGCTGGTGAAGACAGAGGTACTCAGACAGATACATGCTGCATTTGTCCGGAGGAGCATGCTGGCCAGCAGGGGAGACAGAAGGAACCACAGTCACCTGCGGGAGGTCAGTGCAGGGACCAGGTCACAGATGCCAGGTGAGCCCAGGAGAGGCAGTGGACAGAGAGGCTTCTGGCGAGAGGGGTTACTGGGCCAGGCCTTAAAAAGGAGAAAGTAAAACACAAATGACAAGTGACAATGACATTCCTTACGAAAGAAACACTGTGGTGTAGGCCTAAGGCTCCAGAAGATAAGGGCAAGGCCTGTGAGGGCAAGAAACGATGCCAGGGGAGCAGAGCCGGGGAGGAGGGAGGCCCTGCAGATGTGACAGGGCCAGACTTGCACTGTGAAGGCAGCAAGGAGAAGAGACAGGAAGTGAGACAAGACCGTGAGATCCCACCGGAGGATCTGCAGGAAATAGGCAAGAAATGCCAGTGCCAATGAGAACAGAGCTGGTGAGCTGGAGGCGGGGCTTGGGGAGACGGCTGGGTCTAGGAAGTGACACAGGTCACCTCCACTCTGATTTTAGAGATGAGTGGCTGTTATCCACAGAGTTAGAGAGCAGAGTGAGAACCCAGCTGGCAGGAAGAGGAGGGCTCCCAAGCAGCTGCGATGTTTCCAGGTCATCTGGGTGGAGGTGTCCGGTAGGCGGATGCAAGTCCAGATACAGGAGGCAACATCGCATAAATGGCATCTCACTGCCCAGGGCAAGTGAGTTCACCCAGGGAGCCGGGAAGAGAGGACCTGATGGCATCTTAGGGAACACCAGTACGTCAGGGATGAACAGAGCATGGATGGCTGGGAGGGACAGAGAGAGCAAGGTAGTTATCCTGAGGGAGAGCAAGGTAGTTAGCCCGAGCCTCTCTTAGATGCATGGGAAGTTCCTTCAGTTACTTTTTTTTTGATCCTCACCCAAGGACATTTTTCCATTTTTTGTTCAGGTAGAATGGGAGGGAGAGAGAGGAAGAGAGAGAGAAAAAAACATCAACATGAAAGGGACACATCGAGTGGCTGCCACCCGCACAACCAACCAGGGCCGGGGACAAACAGCAACCGAGGTACGTGCCCTTAGCGGGAACCGAACCCGGGTCTCTCTGGACCGCAGGCCGGCGCTCTAACCACTGAGCAAAACTGGCCAGGGCCCTTCAGTTACTTTTGAGCCTCTCGTAGATAAAAGTTTCTCTTTGGTGCCTGGCTGGTGTGGATCAGTGGACTTAGCATCATGCCATGGACTGAGAGGTCTTGGTTCGATTCCCGGTCAGGGCACATGCCCAGATTGTGGGCTCAATCCCCAGTTGATGCTGTGCAGGAGGCAGCCAATCAATGTATCTCTTTCACAACGATGTTTCAATCTCTCTCCCTTCCTCTCTCTCTAAAAAATCAATAAAAACAAATATATATTTTTAAGTTTCTCTTTGGTGAAAAAGGTGCAGGGTTTAAGAAGTACAAATTGGGCCCTGGCCGGTTTGGCTCAGCAGTTAGAGTGTCCGCCTGCGGTCCGGAGAGACCCGGGTTCGGTTCCCGCTAAGGGCATGTACCTCGGTTGCAGTTTGTCCCCGGCCCTGGTTGGTCGTGCGGGTGTCAGCCACTCGATGTGTCCCTTTCACATCGATGTTTCCCTCTCTCTCTCTTCCTCTCTCTCCCTCCCACTCTGTACAAAAAATGGAAAAATGTCCTCGGATGAGGATAAAAAAAAAAAAAAGAAGTACAAATTGGTAGTTACAGAATAGTCACAGAGATGTAAATTACAGCATAGGGAATTCAATAATATTGTAATAACTAGGTATGGTGCCAGGTGGATACTGGAAATATCGGGGGGAACCACTCTATAAAGTACACGATTGTTGAACCACTATGCTGTACACTAGAAACTAATACAGAATAAAATTGACTGTAGACTTCAATTGAAAAATAAAAAAAAGTTTCTCTCCGGGCACTTCCCAAGCCAATGTGTCTGTCCCTGTGCAGTCAATGCCAGCCCACGACATGACGCTGGAAGACAAGGAGACCCACTCCAGCCCTGGCTGGTTTGCTCAGTGGTTAGGGCGTTGGCCCGTGGACTGGGGAGTCCCAGGTTCAGTTCCCGCTAAGGGCACGTACCTCGGTTGCAGTTTGTCCCCGGCCCCGGTTGGGCCTGTGCAGGTGGCAACCAGTCGATGTGTCCCTCTCACGTCGATGTTTCTTTCTCTCTTCCTTCCTCTCTCCCTCCCACTCTATCTGAAGATAAATTCAAAAATGTCCTCGGTGAGGATAAGAAAAGAGCCCCACCTGCACCTGCAGGCAGAAACCCAGAGCAGTGCTAGGGCCTCTCTGTCGGGTGCTCCCTGCTGCGTCGAGCCCCCTCCCTCCCTCCCCTGCGTCTGGTTTTCGGTCAGCTCCCTTTCTCCCTTTGGAATCTGTTCGGCTTCCTCTCTTGCTCTCTCCTTCGCCAGGACAGTCAGGAGAGGCGTCGGGGTTTGGAAACGATGAAGGAGGGAGCCACAGAAAGGCTGCGAGCAGCAAGGCAGGAATGGGCGAAGGGTTAAGTGAGGAGTGAAGAGGCGCAGAAGGAAACATTTTGAGAAGTGGGGGGTTTGGGGAAGGAGGGTGGGGGGAGCACAGCAAATACAAAGGTGGTGGGTGGTGACAGATCTGCGAGAGGCTGACGGAGGAGCCCAGGGAGGATCTCCGCCCACAGCAGGGTCAGCAGGCTGACCTTGAACAGGAGGCTGGTCTCTGGTTCCTAGAAATGAGTAGTCAGGTTTGGGGAGCCCCAGGGACTGGAGGGAGTCCGGGAGACAGCACCCGAGGGCCTGCACCCACTGAGTGAACGAAGCGGACGCTAGTGAGGCGCACTGGGGTGGAAAAGTGGGTGCGGGTAGAAGATGATTGTGGAATATTCTTTAAGTAGATGGAGACCATGAATCTGCGTGGCCCCAACCGCAGGCCCAAGGGGTCACCACTGGTGCCTGGGAAGATGAGAACCTAGGGATGGAGGGGTGGCCTGAGAGAGGCCCGAGGATGCAATGCTATCAGGAGCGTGGTTGGGGTCTTAGCCAGGATGGTCCACCCGATAGCAGGAGGAAGTGGCTGGGGGGCTGGGAGGAGAGTCAGGGGTCCCCAGGAGGCTGCAGGACCGGTGGCACCTGAGGTAGGAGGCCAGAGGGCAGGAGTTGGCATCCCTGGAATCTCCCTGGCAAGACCCTGGGAGGAGGTGACTATGGGGTGGGTGGGCCACAGAAGCCCAGCTGGCCCTGGCCCTGCCTCCAATGAGGGGGTTGGGGGGGGCCGAGGGGGAGGGGCAGAAGGCGGGGAACAGCCGCCTGACCCGAGTTCAGCAGCAGCAGCAGCAGCAGGCAGAGCAGCAGGAGGCGGAGGCGCAGGCGGAGGCTCAGACCTCCAGGCCCAGCGCTGAGGCCAGACAGCCAGGCGGCCATGAGGTCCGGAGGCGTCACCGGGGACTGCGGAGCGCGAAGGGAGCCCCTCTCGCGAGGCGCCGCAGCACGTTACCTGACGGATTTTGGCGCGAGACCGCCCCTCCCGCCTATGACCACAGCGCCCCTGGAGCCCCCACACTCCCCTGCGCCCCCACCCCGTGCCTGCTCCTGGAAGATGACCTTGGAGCCCCAGATCTGTGAATGTCTCCCTGGCTACCAGCCCCATGAAAGCACCCCCAAGTGCCTTAAATTGGTGACAGTGCCCCCCAGAACCTGGCAGGTGAGCACACCCAAATCCACGGACCGGTGAAGGTACCTTGTCACCCAGCCTGACTATACCCTTGGTCCCTGAGCTTGATTTATTGTAGTTTCCCAATTTACATTGATTTGAACATCTGGAAAGCTGTAGAAAGCACAAGAGAAGAACAGTAAGGACTAGGAGGTCAGGGAAGATGTCAGCGAAAGTGACATTTTTTTTTGAAGCCAAAATAGGCAGGAGCTACTTTTTATTCTTAGGTTTACAGAAGAAGCAAATTAAGAGGCATATCATTTGTTAATTCTATTTACCAAAAAGAGCTAAATATATGTTCAGCCTTAAAATGCATTCATTGTTGCTCGCATACTGCAGAAGACTTGAACAAGGAGTCAGGGAGTGGAGGAGGGAAAGGCATCCGGCTCCTCCGCAGACCACCAGCGGAAGGCGCACTCGAGAGGGAAGGCCCCGGGCGTTCACGGGCTGTTTGCAGCAGGGTGCTGTCTTTGAATCTGCTGGCAGAGACTGGGAGGTGACCACCAAGATTCCTGCTTCTATGTCCATTTGGAGGGTCGGGGGTTCAGGTGAGTTCCCAGCAATAGGAGGTGAGTGGAGGTGACCGGTGTCACTTCCGCGCCAAGGCAGTCAGGCGGAGGTGGCCTTCTGTACCTGTGTTACTGCAGAGCGGCGGTTCTCAAGGCGTGGTCCCCGGAGAAGCAGCAGCATCACTTGGCAACTTGTTAGAGATGCACATTCTCAGGTCCCACCCAGACCTACAGGGCTGGAAACTCGGGGGATGGAACCAGCGGTCTGTATTTTAAAGTTTTTTTTGTTGTTGTTGTTGTTTTTTTTAATCCTCACCCGAGGATATTTTTCCATTTTTTGTACAGATAGAGTGGGAGGGAGAGAGAGGAAGGGAGAGAGAGAGAGAAACATCGACGTGAAGGGACACATCGAGTGGCTGCCACCCGCACGACCAACCAGGGCCGGGGACAAACTGCAACCGAAGTACTTGCCCTTAGCGGGAACTGAACCCGGGTCTCTCTGGACCGCAGGCTGACGCTCTACCCGCTGAGCCAAACCGGCCAGGGCAGCGGTCTGTATTTTAACAAGCCCTCCAGGGAAGTCTCATGCAGGTAAAGCATGAACCACAGGGCTGCGTGGAGCCAGAAGACGGAGAAAAACTACCTGTTGACCAAGTTGTAGGAACAAGAAGTTAACTTGACTTTGTTAATCCATGAATATTCGTGGCTTCTTAAAGCAGCTGATTGGATACGTATTAAGAGACTGGGTTCGATGTGAGCTCTGTCTTCCAACCCTAGCCTTCCTTGGGCAATGCAGGGGACTGACAGGGCAGCTGTCCAAGCCCGTGGATATCCGGCAGAACCCTGGCCCCTGGGAGAGCAGGGTTCAGAAGATTGGGAGGGAGTCCACCAGCAGCTACACAGAGACTTGGACCCTGGGCCTGGAATGAGGACAAAGAACTAGATCCGAATACAGTGACCTTCTCTTGCCCTCCTCCCTAGGGGAATGCCGATCTTGGGTAACAAAAGGGGGGGGGCAGAAAGGAGAAACAGTGGAAGAGGAGGAATATTCCTCATGCCCCAACTTTACTCTTGCTCCCAGGTCGTTTCTCTTAATCCTGTTCTGAGTTACAGAAGCTGTTAAATTAGGCTACCGAGCTGCCTGCAGACACGAGGACAACTAGCACAAGAGCGCAGGGAGCTGGACCCCGCTGGCTGAAACCATTCCTGGAACGCACACCTGAGCAGGTGGGGACTCACCGCTCTCTCTAGGCCTTAGTAAGAACCCTGTGTAGCCCCAGGCTAAACGCAAAGCCAGTCCACTGCAGGCTATGTTATCTGCGACCCCACACTGTCCAGGACAGCAGCTTCCAAACACGCGAGACAGTCTCGAAACGTTTATTCAGATGACATCAGAAATCTCCACGCTCTTCATGTCTCAACACAATTTGGGGTGAGCCTGGATGTGGCCCAGGGCACTGAGGAAGGGTTGACCCAGGAAGGCTTACGTGGCAGAGGCTGGCCGCTCACAGATGGATCTGCACTGGGGTGCAGGGACCTCTCCCGCCCCAGACAACTGAGTCCTGTGGGAATCACACCACAGCAGGGACGGAGCGACGCCTCGTTCACGCTCTCTGGACAATCACCAAGCTGACTGGCTTGACAGAGGGTCAGCTGAGAGCCTGAAACCACCCAGGTCTAACGGTGTTCACCGCTGATGACACGTCTTCCTGGGTAGGTGTTCTCCAAGATGTCCACGCAGCACCTGCTCCACCTGGCAGGTCAGCTGGCCCTTGAGGGGACGGTGTCGCCCCTCCCTCCCGGCAGGCAGAGCACAGCCAAGGAATAGGCGTGGTTGAGGCAGGGGACTGGAGCACCAGGTGGGACACTTTCGGGACTCCAGTCTTACTTCCACTCTCTGTTGTGTGGCTCTCCACAGGGTCGGGGGTCCCAACGGGAAAGCGAGGGGAGGGCAATGAGAAGGAGTGGGAGGAGAGGACTTGTGTGAGACTCGGAAACAGGAGGGGAGCACGCCGCCGTGGTCACAGGGTCACCAGAAGGCCCAGGGGCAGCACCAGGCACAGGGGCGGGACGGGGAAGCCTGCGGAGTGTCCAGAAGCAGATTGACTCATGTGATCAATGAGCCAGAGCTTGTAGACACTAACTTCTGTATAAACTCCAGGAAGTTCTTTGCGACCACAGCCGATGCCCCAGCTCACAATCCCCACCTGGACCCATGTTTTATTAAATTCACAGACCAGGGGGCCCCCAGAATCTCCCTGGAGAAAGAGAAGGAAACAAACAAAGGAATGGAGGAGGACCAACATCAGAACAGGCTGACTGGCCTACAAGGCACTGGGGAGATGGGCACCTGCGGGGCTTCCCAGCACCCACCAGGCCCAGGCTTCGGAGAAGACTTAAAAGTTGAAAAAATGTAAACAATCAGAATTTGTGTACATACTCAAAAGATTGTGCATAGAAAATACCGACTATATGCCCGGCCGGTGTGGCTCAGTGATTGAGCATCGACCCATGCACCAAGAGGTCGCCAGTTCGATTCCCAGTCAGGGCACACGCCCAGGTTGTGGGTCCAATCCCCAGTGGGGGGCATGCAGGAGGCGGCCAATCGATGTCCTCCCTGATCGATGTTTCTATCTCTCTCTCCCTCTCCCTTCCTCTCTCTCTAAAAATCAATAAAGAAAAAAAAATTGTTTTAAGAAAACATTGACTATAAACAGAGAAAATGTACATACTCTGAGATAATAATGACTGAATCCTCTCCCGAGACATCGCCTATCACATGGAAGGGTCCAGACTCTTATTAGGCATTTCCTGCCTGAACCCCCTCTCCTCCCTGGCCCTTCAAGCAGGGGCAGCTCCTTGCTGCTGCAAGACTGGGCCGGGCCAGCCTGCCAGAGCTCAGCAGCTTGTCCCATCAGAGCTCTTAGTTGAATGAAGGGTGAATGGAGGGGTTGGTAGGTGACGAAGGCCCCACAGCCTGTGAGTAAAGAAACCGAGGGGACAACCAAAACGCAGAGGCGGCAGGAGGCCCAGGAACTGACCTGGCAGGAATCCTTTCCGAGGGCATTGTAGCCACAGACATTCCCTTCCTTGACTACGTTAGTTGAGACTGATATCTTTTTCTTGTACAGCTCATTACACTTCTCATGGCGAATAATGCTTAGCTCAGCCTCCTGAAGCACGTCTGGGGCGGCCTCTTTGGGATCTGTAAAGACAATTTAGAAGAAGGGGGACCTGCTTAGTGGGCCAGGACAGGGCCCCTGGCACCCGCTCTGGGTCTCATACAGTGTGTTCACATACAGACATCCTCTTAGGGCAGTGGATATTGTCCCCACTTGACACTGGAGGAAACGAGACCCACAGTGGACAGGGGGAGAGGGATAGGTAAGAATCAGAACCAAGACAAGAGAAGGAAGAACGGATCAGAACAGGACTAGGCAAGGCCTTACCAGCCTGAGACATCAAAACCAACTATCTGTCCCTCTGAGTACCATTAGTAATAGTGACAGGTGTCCTATACATCAGTAAAGTATCTTTAGTTCGGGACAGGATCACAGACTCTCGGACACAGTGTCCCAAAGGCACCAATCCAGCCTCTCTCCAGGGATAGGAGGTCCTATAATTTCACCAAGAGGCACTCTCTGGCCTCTTCTCACTCACAGAAAATTCCCTAAGCACCAAGGCAAGTACTTGTAGTTTGGGACCACTCAGGTTAGCAGACAAATCAACACTCCCGACCTAAAACCCACCTTGCTTATGACCCAAGGCCCTAGGTCCTGACACACTAATAGATGCTTGCAACACCATCAAATTACTCCCTAGCAGCATCTTCTCCACCCACCTCCCTTACCCACTTGCTAAGAAAATTACCTCCCTGTGTCTCCCTTTAGCGTGTTGGCCAACCCCAGGGCACCAAACAACCTTTTCCCTGGCCTGAGTTTGCTTCCCAGCCTCACCTTTTTCCTTTAGTTTCCCCCATCCAGTCACCCAGCACTCCGTACCAGCTTGCACCATGAAACCACTTTCAGGGATGCACACAGGCTGGATATATGGGGAGAAATTCACAGGGACTTCGAGCAGAGCCAGAGCAATGTCATTTTCGATTGTTCTAAAAGTACTAAAATCTCGGTGGATCACAATGTCTCGAACTGGGACCTCGATTGCCAGCGTGGAGGCCTGATTCAGGCGTATGTCTCCTATCTTCACCATGTACTCCTCGTAGCTGCAGAGAGATCCCGGAGGGTCTATATTCCCCTTCCACATGTTCTAGGTTCTTCCCAGCCTGGTCCTATCTCCAATGCCTGGTCCTATCTCATCAGCCACTCCCCTCCCTCCAAACCACATCCCCTCCCCAGACCCCTGGCCACTCTATCCAGCGGTTCTCAAAGTTTGGTCCTTGGATGCGCAGCATCAAGATCAAGATCAAGTGGGAACTTGTCAGAAATGGAAATTCTCAGGTCTCACCCCTGACCTACTGAATCAGAAAAATTCTGGGGGTCAGGGACAGGTGATCTGTGTTTCAATGAGCTCTGCAGGTATTTCTAGGCTCATTAAAGTCTGAGGTCACTGACCTAGCCAAATGGGTGGAGTAGCCCTACTCCCCTTAAATATCCCCCCTTTCAAGTCTTGCCCACACACTGCCTCCCACTGGTGTCTCTCGGCCTTCTTGCCACTTGGTGGAGGCTCATCAGCTCTGGCTTAAAAGCAGAGGCTTTGAACCTGGTTTTAGGTCTTGCCTTTCAGGCTACCCAGGGCCTAACACCCCCACCTCTGACTACAACCTGAGGAGACTGAGACCCTCCTTCAGATGACAGCGGACTCAGCAGTCTGGGGCTCTCACCCGAAGATGCAGTGGGCGGCCGTCAGCACCCACCGGTCGGCGATGAGGGAGCCTCCGCACACGTGCTCGTCGTTGATCCGCAGGCTCACCTGCCAGGGCCACTTCTTCTGCGCGGCCGGCCTGCCTCCCACCACCCGCATAGACCGTTGGCCACAGGCTGGAGCGGTCAGGAGGGGAGGGCACGAGAAGGTACGGCCGCTGACACCACGGCCACGGGGCCAGAAAACCCTCGGAAACCTCGGGAGCCCCCCACCCCCACCCCGCGACCCAGGCCGGGCCCAGGGACCGGGCAGGTCTGTTTCCCTCACACCCTCCGAAGGGCCACGTCCACTCAGACCCCCGTCTCCCCCAGGCAGGGTCTCCAGCCCCCCGGCGGCCCCGACATGCCTCCAGAAGTGGTCGAGATGGGGGTGACTTTGGCTGGTGGTGTTTTCCCTGGAGTCTGCAGAGCTCTGTGGGAAGCAGAGTCCCCTGGGGTAAACGCCACCCAATGGGGAGACACTGAAACCACACGGGATTTGGGGGCCTCAGTGGGTGCCGGCACCCCTTCAGGTGGCAACTTCCGCAGGCTCGCCCCGGGGCCCCGGCGGCCGCTCCCCGAGGGGACTGGAGATGGTGAGGGCGGCGGCCTGCCCTGCGCCCCGGCCCCGGCCCCGGCCCCGGCCCCCAGGGCCTCCCGGAGCCAGGGCTGCAGGAGCAGGAGCCAGACCAGGAGGCCGCCCAGGGACGCCATGGGCACCGCCAGGGACTCCGCCTTCCGGTGGCGCCCCCTCGCGGGGGCTCCCGCCCCTGCCCTGGTGTGGAGAACTAGGGTCACGCCTGGGTTGTGGGGTCACGGGGGGTGAGGGCCTCTTCCCACAGATGCATTCACAGCTCCCTGCTGCGCTCGGATTAGGCCTTTCTCAGCATTTCCCTCCCCTACTTGTTTGCAATAAAAAATGTAAACTCCTTCACATATAAATGTTGCACTTAACATTACTAGCCACTACGTCACAGATAATAGTGCTACCTTTAAAAAAAAAATCAACACCCACATGAAAAGAGCAAAATGCAAATTAAAACTCCAAAAGATACCACTGCACACCTAACAGACGGTCTAAAATGAAAACTAGTGACAACACAGAATAACTGCCAGGGGTGCAGAGATACTGGGTCATTCACACATTGTGGGAGGAATGTAAAGTATTACAACCTTTCTGGAAAACAGATTGGTGGTTTCTTAAAAAATAAAATATGCAATTACCATACGACCCAGTAATTGCACTCCTGGGCATTTATCCCAGAGAAATAAAGATTTATGTTCACACACACACAAAAATAACTGTTCGAATGTTTATAGTAGCTAAATTCATAATATAGCAGTCCCCCCTTATCCACGGTTTCACTTTCTGTGGTTTCAGTTACCCATGGTCAACAGCGGTCCAAAAATATTAAATGGAAAATTCCAGAAATAAACAATTCATAAGTTTTAAATGTCCCTCCGTTCTGAGGAGCATGATGAAATCTCACGCTGTCCTGCTCTGTCCTGCCAGGTCAGGTATCCCTTAGTCCAGTGTATCCACGCTCTATGCACTACCCACCTGTTAGTCACTTAGGAGCCATCTCAATTGTCAGATTGACGGTCTCAGTATGACAGTGCTTGTGTTCAAGTCACCTTATTTTACTTAATAATGGCCCCAAAGCACAGGAGTAATGATGATGGCAACTTGGATATGCCAAAGAGAAGCCATAAAGTGCTTCCTCTAAGTCAGTGGTTCTCAACCTTCCTGATGCTATGACCCTTTAATACAGTTTCTCATGTTGTGGTGACCTCCAACCATAAAATTATTTTTCTTGCTACTTCATAACTGTAATTTTGCTACGGCTATGAATTGCCATTGGAAATGTGTATTTTCCGATGGTCTTAGGCAACCCCTGTGAAAGGGCCGTTCAACCCCCAAAGAGGTCACGACCCACAGGTTGAGAACCACTGCTCTAAGTGAAAAGGTGAGTATAGACCAGATATTTCGAGAGAGACCACATTCACATAACTTTTATTACAGTATATTGTTATAGTTGCTCTTTTTTATTACTAGTTATTATTGCTCATCTCTTGCTGTTTCTAATTTACAAATTAAACTTCACCATAGGTATATATGTGTAGGAAAAAACATAGCACAATTGACCCTTGAAAAACATGGGGGTTAGGGATGCCAACACCCCTCACAGTTGAAAATCTACATTTAACTATATTTATATTTAACTTTATTTACTATTGATTTTAGAGAGAGAGGAAGGGAGAAGGAGAGACAAATAGAAACATCCTTGAGAGAGAACATCAACTGGCTGCCTCCTGCACACCCCCACTGGGGATGGAGCCCAAACATGGGCATGAGCCCTGACTGGAAATTGAACCGGTGACCTCCCAGTGCATGAGGCAAAGCTCAACCACTGAGCCACTCCAGCCAGGCCACATATAACTTTTGACTCCCCCAAAATTTACCTACTAATAGTCTATTGTTGAAGGATAGCTTACTGATAACATAAATAGTTGATTAACACATAGTTTGTATATTATATGTATTACACAATGTATTCTTACAATAAAGTAAACTAGAGGAAAGAAAGTGTTTTTAAGAAAATCGTAAGGAAGAAAAAATACATTTACAATACTGTACATACTCATTGAAAACAATCCATGTATCAGTGGACCTGTGCAGTCCAAAGCCATGTTGTTCAAAGTCAACTGATATATAGGGTTTGCTACTATCCACGGTTTTAGGCATCCACGGGGGGTCTTGAATTGTCCTCCCCGCAGATATCAGGGCACTACTGTAGCCAACATCTGGAAATAACCCTGCAGTAGACAGATTAATGGCCTCCCAAAGATGTCCACATTCTAATCCCTAGAGTCTGTGAATATATTACCTTACATGGCAAAAGGAATGTGATGAAATAAAAAAAATCCTGCGGGGGGTGAGGTTAACCTGGATAAGTAAAAGTGACCACAGTGCTTTGTAGTTCCTCCCATCAAGAGATGAAGTCAGGCTGTGGTACAAGCAGCCTTGTCACTTGGGCTGTATGACCTGGCAAATCCTATGGTGCTAGAGTTTGCTGTGGTGAATAAAAATGCTGTCAGGTGTCCCTACTATGTCTTATTTAGAGAGTCACAGTATAGTCCCCTATAGTTCTAGCAAAGAAACCGTACATTGCTTGAAAAGCAACTCCTAACACACTACTGAATCCTAAAAAGAAACTAAATGCCAGACCAGAGGACCTTAAGGGACTAAGAAATCAGCGCCTCCCACCATAATGTGGCTATTTAACCAGACATCTATCCTATGAACCACCAGTTCCTCTCCTAGGTTTGTTCCCGTAAGAAATGAAAGGATACAGACACAAAGGTCTTGTATAAAATGTTTATTAGTTGCTTTAGTCATAATGGCCCCAGCATGGAAACAACCCAAATCCAACAACAGGAGACCAAACAAACTGTGGAATAGCCACATTGTTCACGATCACTGCTCAGCAGTTAAGGAATGAACTAATGACACATGGGTGAATCTCAAAAACGGTGTGTGGAAGGTAAGAAGCCAGACACAAAGGGGCACTTACTTATTATTCTATCAATATGAGGTTCAATTACATGCAAATCTGATCTGATAGCAATCAGAACAATGGGTACCTCTGGGGGGGAATTAAAAAGGGACACAAAGGAATATCCTGAATTGTTGGAAATATTCTCTATTATAATTTGTGTGATGTTAATGTGGAGTATACATTTGTTAAACTCATAAAAGTGTACATTACAGTGTGGATATTTTACTATATATAAATTATACCTCCATAAGGAAAATATAAAAATTCATGGAGATAACAGCCTTTCACTGACATAAGCTCTTAACTTTATCAATTAAAAATATATGAATACAGAAGGAAGCAATGGCATATAGTGAAGTAGAAATTTTTAAAAATTTAGTCTTTTTTTTAAAAAGGTTCAATGATAGTAAGACAGTATGCTCTTTGCTACCAATCAACCTAACCTTTTTTAAAAAAATTATCTTTACTGTTGAGAGTATTACAGATGTCCTCTTTTTAAAAGGGGGGGGGGGTGATTTAGTCTTAATAAGTGACTTTAGCCTAGCCAGAGTGGCTCAGTTGGTTGAGCATCGCCCTGTGCACTGAAAGGCTGTCGGTTTGATTCCTGCTCAGGGTACATACCTGGGTTGCAGGTTCGATCCCTGGTTGGCACACATACAGAGGGCAACCAATTGATGTTTCTCTCTCTCTCTCCTTCTCTCTCTCTAAGCATGTCCTTGAGTAAGGATTTAAAAAATAAAGAAATGACTTTAAAAACTTCTATTCATAATCACCCAGAAATAAAGCCCCAGAGAGTACCAAATGAATTAGTTAGGATGAGGTTTTCCTATGAATAACTGAGACTAAAGACGACAGGGATTTAATTTAAAGAGCGGGTTGTTTCTCTCTTGCATCAAGAGCTGTGCGGCAAGCCCTACAAATTCCAGGGAGCCAACTTTCTTCTAAATCCCTGTTCCTTACCGTAAGCATGTCCTCAGGTCCCAAGATGGCTGTTCACGTTCCAGTCACCATGTATACATTCCAGCCAGGAGAGGAGAAAGAGATGAGGAAGGGCTTGTCCTCCCTCTAAGGATAGTTCCCCAAATTCACACCCAACATCTGTTTATATGGTATTGGCCAGAACGTAGTGCCACACTTAGATACACGGGAGAGTTAGAGATGTCGTCTTTATTCTGATCAACTATATACCCAACAGAAGGGGAGGGAAGGTGCCAGGGCTGCTGATTTTCAATCTTTACCAGGGTCCACTTCTTTATCCACCTAAATATTCACATGAATCTTCTTTTCACATGCAAAGCTCATGTGTCCCCTCCTAAGAGAAGACAACTACAGACTTTCACGAACAGGGAAGGAACGGGGCGGGGAGGGCGGCAGTGAGGTGCTCTGCATCACTGACAAAGAGCGACTCTGGGGCCACAGGGGAGTGAAGGGAATGAGCCAGCACAGCCGCGGTGAACCCCAGCCTATCCTCCCCCTGGGCTTTAGCCCTGGGTTTTGTGTAGCGTGGCCAAGGAGACCTGGTGCTCAAGGCTCTACACACCTAGAGGGGGCATTGCTGAAACAGGCAGAAAAGGGGGTCTGCCGTTTGGATGCACTGCCCTGACTCCTCTTGCTTCCTGTCTCTCTCGCCTCCTCCTTCCCAGATGCAGTGCCAGCAAACTCAGCTACAAAGCTCCCTGCAGACATGGCGATGTCTGAGGAGCACACAGCAAGACCCAGGTGCTAGAATCATCTGTGGCACTCACATCAGGGTAGACCAGGCCCTCCCCTCCCACTGCAGGGGTTAAAAAGCCTCACAAACATCTTCCTGAGATAAATGTGAACTAAGTTCTCTTCAGTGGCCCCACGTCCCAGACCAGAAGAGATGCAGAGCACACAAGCCATTCTCCAAACATGTATTCAACTGACATCAGAAATCTCCACACTCCTTCAGGTCGCAACACAACTTGGGGTGAGCCTGGATGTGGCCCAGGGCACTGAGGAAGGGTTGACCCAGGAAGCTTACGTGGCAGAGGCTGGCCGCTCACAGATGGATCTGCACTGGGGTGCAGGGACCTCTCCCGCCCCAGACAACTGAGTCCTGTGGGAATCGCACCACAGCAGGGACGGAGCGACGCCTCGTTCACGCTCTCTGGACAATCACCAAGCTGACTG